AGAGTGCTCCACGGCCCGGTACCGGTCCGCGGCCCGGTGGTTGGGGACCCCTGCTTTAAAGAACAAGTTCTTTTTCCTGTTCCTGAAAATAGTACAAGGTGGCTGTGAACTGTCACAGGACCCCTATGTCATACCAAACTGGGACTTCTTTAATTATGGTTTCCTGAGTCAAAAGCCAGGGTTTACAAAATTGTATCGTGTATTTAGCCAAACACATGAATCAAAATGTTTTGTCCTAAGAGGAAGGAAATTGTGTTCTTGGTAAATGGATACTGTCGTTTCATTGCCACATCAAATTCAGGAACTAATTCTGCTGTGAAGTCACTCATTGTTGTTTCAGAGTAGTAAACAGTTCTCAACTAGTTGTAAAAAATGTAATTTCCTCTAAATGTTAGTTTTGAGGACATGGAAGAGGTTATAATAATTAATTTATAAATGCACATACAGGAAACAATGTGGGGATATCTACTTTAGGCAATCCAGTAGCTATCTGCATCTACTCTCAAAGACAGCTGCTGCACTTGAAGAAAACATCAATAAATCTTCAGTAGTCCAAACTATCCATTATAACTATACTCGAAGGCATTAGAAATTTAATATTTCTTTGTTAATCCTGATTACCTATATAGCAGATCCTCATACTAGTCTATTGGGAAAGCTCATTCCTATTACTATTAAAGGCCATTGTGAAATATCACATCAAGTGGAACTTTACTTGGGCTTGCTAAATAATATGCATGCCATTCCCATGATGCAATATATAGTTCATTTTTATACTGTGATTAAGGCATCTCTGTTAGATTGCATCCCATATATGATTTTCTCTGATAAAGAGATCTGTTTTGCATTATCCAACCAAAACACCTCAGTTGTTTTTCTTGTCTTACAAAGAAATTCTTTCTGTTAGGACGGACCAACAAATTTGTGTTTCCCCCCCAATCTTCTTCCATTTGTGAATTCTCCATTTTATTTCTGTCCTTTGGAAGGGAAGTCACCAGGTTAATAATGTAGCTAAATCAATCAATGAGAATTTCCATACAGGATCTTTCCTGCAATTCAGAAGCTGCTGCTGCAGGCCTCCCCAGTCTTGTGATAGTATGTGGAGTGGAAACAATGTCAATTTTCTTCATGCTCTTGATGGCAACTACCACTGGATCAATGGACTAAATGAGTTAACAAACTGAATCAGCCAAGTGTTTCTCCCAGTGATTAAATTCACCTTGTCATACCTTTGTTAGTGGAAATAAATGATAGAGACAGATAAAGGCCCTTTTCCACAGGTCCAATACAAGGAGACCAAAATAGTTCATCTAATATGCATCAGCATATTCTAGGAGGGGGAAGTTAATTTTTAAAAGACCAAATAGGAAACAAATTATTTTTGTATATATAAAACATGTAAAGTATAATCATAAAAGGCAAACGCATATATGAGAAATGGACCCATTGGTTTATGCAAGTAACTATCCTGCTTACTTCTGCTGTGAGGCAAAAAACAACAACCCATAGTTTATTTTTATCTGTTGGCCTGGTGTGGAGAGCCCTAATTTTGTATTGATTTATGTGAACCAGCACCCAACTGGTTGACATAAAGCAACCCAACATACACAACTCAGAATGTTCACAGACCATACAAATACATCACCTTTAAAATGTTAAATTATCTTCTACAGAAGACAGGAGGATGCTTTTACACAAAAAGAGCTTGAAATGAATATATGTACATATTTTGCTCTAAGTATAGCAGAGTAAAGCACAATAGTTCAGTTTTCCAATGTCTGATGGTCATTGGCATTTATTTTTCTGATTTGAAATGACAACCACAGTTCCTCTGGAAAACCTTTATTTTTAAAGCAGCAATATAATACAGGTTGATATATTCATTCAAGGAGGAATTAGGTCTAAAGGTAGAGTTCCATGTAACTTGAAATAAGTTGGAAAGGAGGAGTTACTCCAAAAATTTTAATTGCATTTCGGTAGATTCTTATCAGGGCCAGAGTTTATGAACTGACGATAGAATTCCGATTCTGTCTTGCTGTGAATTTCCACTGCCCAAAGAGTTTTTATACCGTCTCCTCACAAATGAAGCGGTTTAATTCAGAGCAAGATCTCGAGATGGTGGAATTTAATCCAATTGTAGAACAGTCGTTTGTTTTATCTTGAATATTAAATCTATGTAGGGAAATTGAAAAAAGTCAGAACTTTATTTACAGGAAATGGAGCAGAGCAGTAATCATGCAGAATGTCAGCTGTAGAACAGAAACTTCATTTTTATATGGGAGCTGCAGAATAAGAATGAAATAAATATACATGGAAATGAACAACTGGCAAGATTTCATAGAAATTCTTTATCACAGAAGTTTGAAACTTAAGGTAATAAAAAGATACACACAACCCATCAAGATAACTAGGTTTTGTGAATATGCTTGGTGGCCTGACTCATATTAGAGGTGGAGGATATGTTTTTCAGCTCACACAATTCAGTCATGCAACCCATCAGGAATCATGTGACCAGTTTTATCCTTATTAGGACTTTTCAGACACAAATAGCCAGAGGTTATTATAGAGAGCTCAAACCTCTTCTGGGAATTGCACTCATAGATGTTTGCACTTATATATACTGGACATTAGTAGTTGCAAGATTTATTTTATTTTTTATTTATTTTATTTGTCAATCACTTACAAGATAATAGGTATAAGTATAAACATAGTTATGAATACATGGAATGGATACATATAAGAAAAATAAAAAAGAATCAATAGGACAGGGACGGTAGGCACGTTGGTGCGCTTATGCACGCCCCCTACAGACCTCTTAGGAAAGGGGTGAGGTCAATACCGTAGTAGACAGTCTAAGGTTAACATTTTTGGGGTTTGGGGAAGAAACCACAGAGTCAGGTAGAATATTCCAGACATTGACCATTCTGTTGCTGAAGTCGTATTTCCTGCAATCAAGTTACCCGAAACACCATCAGAATAGTGTATACATTTCACCTTCTAATGATGGGTGAATTAATGCCTGAATATTTGCCATATGTCATTTTAAATCTAAGTAACCCGCGCTCTTTTTTTTTTTTTAGCTTAGTATGTTTTTTTTGTGTGGGTTTCTTCTCCATTTAGGCTTTTTTTCCAATAGACCAGCACACCCCATGGAATGATTATCACACTTTCTCATACCCGAACATCTATCAATTCAAGGATTGACTCATCCACAGGTGTGCTTATCTGTAAGTATATACAATAATATTTTTGTTTTCTTAATATTATTTTTTACACAACAATCCAGAATAGATCAATATTATTAGCCATAGGCAGCAAGAGCTGACTTCCCCTCAATTCTTTGTTAGGAGCAGACAACAGAAACCTCACTTATTTAAAGAAAATGCCAAAAGCTGCAGTGGACACAGTAATGGGTGTAACCACAAACAAGATCAGAGTCTGGAGTTCTGAAAATTTTACATGTTTTTCTTGAAGGCCCATCAAGGAATACATCCATGCTTGCTTCCAGATTCAGTCAGCTGTCCAAACATGGCCTATTCCTATGCTGTGTAAACAATAATGATCAAAAGTCTAATAAAACTTACAAGCCAGGGTCAAACTTTGTGTTATCAATCCACTTCCACTGTCCATTGGAATTTCTCAGGCCAATGAAGTAATCTGTAATTTGTGTTTTGCTATTCAGGAATGCCTGGATAGGATACACAGGAACAAAATGTGATGAAATACAGTGACACCAAATTCTGTTATGAACTTGTGTAAACCTACATTATTTGTATAAGTGGCATATAAATTGCATCAACATAAACCATGGATCAACAAAAATGATACCGTATGCATTACAGATAATCTTCGATCTACAACATTAATCGAGCCCCCAATTATGATTGTAAGTTGTGATGGTCAGCAAGTGGGTTATCACATGATTTTGCCTGGTTTTGTGATCTTCTTTACAGTTGTTATTAAGACAATATGGCAATTATAAAGCAAACAACATGATTGCTAAGTGAACTAAAATGATTGCTAGTTGTTAAGCAAATCCACCTCTGGCTATGGGACATTTTTTGACATAAACTAGAAGAAAATGCTGGTTTCTGGCAAAAACATTGTAAATCACAGTCACGTGACTGTGGGATGCTGTAAACAGCCATAAATGTGGGCTGGCTGTTGAATGAACAAAATGCAGTTATGTGACTGGGAGTGGGGGGAGAAGCTTTGGAACTGGGTTATCAGTACCTTTTTCAGTATCAAGTTTATCTCCATCTATATAAAAACTTCTGTTTCAAATAAATACAAGGCATTCCTTGTAGGTTTCAATATAATTTCAATTCTAAGCTCTCTGAAATTGGGCCAATCAAGTGCATATTCTTCAAGGAAAGAAAATTAAAAGAGAATTAAAAGCATTTTAATTTCAAGATCTCTCCCATATACACAATAATTGTGAAAGTCATTTCCTCTCAGTAGCTGAAGAGAATGGGCTTCCAAATTTGTCCTGTTCTACTTTTAGAATGTTTTAACACTGGTTATACCACTACTTTTCCTCAACCCAAGGAGGAAAATAGTAATTAAAAAAACACCTCAACAACACTTCAAAAAGATTTTGCTTGTTACTTTGTTATTTTTCAGAGGTGAAAATACCCTCTTACCTGAGGGAATAGTTGCCATGGTCTCTAATATCTAGAACAACTTTTAAAACTAATTTCATAATAGTTGGGGTAGCTATGCAGTTGCTTAATATCTGGAATGTTACTGGTTCTAAATCTACCCCAAATATGTATGTGTGTTTTAAAATTACTATTTTTCGTTTCCTGAACTACTTACTTTTCACAGGGCTTTCTTCTTTAAAATAAGCCCAGTGGTCCATCATTTCATTATTTTTCTGGTCACCTGAGGTAATATTTCCAGGTGACTGGAAAAATGAGGAAACACTGTTGAAATTTAAAAAGTGAAAAAAAAAAGGTATAGGTAGTCCTCGACTTACAATAGTTCATTTCGTGATGCTTTAAAGTTACATCCCTAAAGAAAGTGATTTATGACCATTTTTCACACTTAAAACCATTGCAGCATCTCCATGGTCACATGATCAAAATTCAGCTTGGCAACTGACTCATATTTATGACGGTTGCAGTATCCTGAAGTCATGTGATCCCCTTTTGCGACCTTCTGACAAGCAAAGTCAATGGGGAAGCCAGATTCACTTAACAACCGGGTTACTAACTTACCAACTGCAGTGATTCACTTAACAACTAGGGCAAGGAAAGTCATAAAATGGGCAAAACTCACTTAAACAAATGTTTCACTTAGCAACAGAATTTTGGGCTCAATTTATGGTCGTAAGCTGAGGACTACCTATACTTCAGAGAAAAAAATAATATTTTTAAAAAATGCTTCAGACCTGAATCGAATACTTTGCTAGCTGTTGCCAAAGTAGTTCTGTCTGGCTAAATTTTCTTAAACTGAAGTAGAGTCGAATAGGCATGAGCAACAGGACAGCTGCAACTATGCCCTAATTTCCATTTAAAGGTAAATTGGGAGGGGGACAGTTAGACATTATGGAAATATAATGAGTTTTCAATGTTTGTCCCAAAATACTATTTTTTTCTTTAATATCCACTCTATCTACTCACCAGTTCTGCTTTGTTACTGATAATGGCAAGATGAGAATTTAACCGGGCACATTCTTTTTGGCTCTCAACCCATGTTTTTTGCAGCGTAGAAAAGTAGTAGCACTTTCCTTCATACAGAGTCCACCTTAACGAGCAGCCTAAAGAAAATGAGGATATATATGGCTTCAGTGCACACCAGGTCGGAGAGTTCACATTGCAAACTCACTGGTGGCATTCACATTGCAAACTCACTGGTTTTTCCTGGTGAGGTGATTTTGGGGACTTCTGAGAAGATCTGTGAAACTGAATACAAATGACTTTTAAAATAACCAGGCATTTAAAAAGCTATCAAGGTTATTCACAAAAAATGTTCACTAAATTCAAGCCCATCTACTCCCTCCCAGTTGCGTTATCTTTCTCACATAGAAAGTGACTCTTTGCAGTTGAGAATTTCCTTTCATGATCCATAAAAACTTTTCATGCTAGTTAAAACACTGATGGAAATGATGTATAACTTGTTCTAATAGATCATGGGTGTCAAGCTTGTGGCCTGTGGGCTAGATGCATCATGCGCTGGCCATGCCCATGCCTGGTTTAGTGAAGGGGGAAAAAGTTGTGATACATCATGTGACAACGCTGTGACAACACAAGTTTGACACTCCTGTAATAGAGTATTGAAGTTTGAATATGATCTGTCTCTCTCTCTTTCTCGGTCTTGGTCTCTCTTGTGTAAGAGAGAGAGAGAGAGAGAGAGAGAGAGAGAGAGAGAGAGAGAGAGAGGGAGGGAGGGAGAGTTAAAATAGCTTCTGAAAGGGATTAATGTTTATCCCTGGAGTTGCATTTCTACCTGCTTGATTAGGGAGGTCTATTTTTGTTTTTACTCTTACAAGCCCAGGAAAAGGAATAACAATAATAACAATGGCAATATATTTTGCATATGGAATTTTGGTCAGTGCTACATTGGTCAAAAGAACTGCTATGGTTGAAAATGGACACATCACAAGAATGGCATGACATGACATGCAAAGGAAGCATTATTAACCATTATTTCCCAAAATTAGAAGATTGATAATAAAAAGCAATATAATACATACTATATACAAAGAACAGAGAACTGCCTATTAGCTTAATAGTCAAAGTTGGCACTATTGTACCCATGAGTTTCCAATTCATATTAGTCTGTATTTTAGATGCAAAACACCAAGATATTTTCCTTTTGCATTCAGATTGAAATCTTCAGTTATGAGTCAGGCTTTGCTTGAATCTGAAATATAAAGTGAGCCATGTCAGATTAAATGAGGTATAGACTAGTACTTGTTACTACAAGGTCAGACAAATATTAGTAAGTTAGTAAATAGAAATTGAGATGTTTGCTTAGTAAACTGATAATGACCGCATGGAGAATATGGATGTTACAATTTCTGAACTTCCTTTTCCACTTATTTTATTTCAGGTTTATTATTTCTCTTGTTGGAAGAATTATCCTTCTGGGTTCAGTTCCAAGTGGGGAAAAAGACACTGGAAACACGGAGGCTGTTTGGAAGGTTTAATGGTGGACAGGACTACATGGAGCTCCAGAGTGAAAAGAAAGGATGATCACATGCTTCAAGGTGATGGAAGAGATCAAGAAGGGGTGACATGCTGAGAGTGCCTGGGTTTTATAACCTTTGTTGGGATTTGAATTGGAGCTTGTATTCTGACTGGTTGTCAGACTCCCATGGAGCCATGCAAGGGCAACTCTGTAGGCTGTCCTGAGTTCCAGGCTTGGTTGAGTCTTGCTGGATGATGATGATGCACTGAAAAGGGCTTTGGGCAATTGCTATAGCTTTACCTGGAGATCTTTGTTATGTAAAGTATTCTGGCCCAGGCCTTAATGGCCCACCCATTAACAAAGGTGGGGGTGAGCTTCTGCTTTTGAGGTGTTTCTGCTCTTGAGTTTCTACTCTTTTTAGGGGAAATATTCTGCCTTTTAAATATTTCCTAGGATGCTTCTAGGAGAGGGTTGGGTGCTAACTTCCTACACTCTATACAGTTGATGAACAGAAATTTACAAGACTTAGGGCTCTTCCTCACAACAATAACATGCATTGCCCCAGGCTTTGACTCAGCAAAACAGTACACCTGTTTGAATTGTATTGCCACCATAGCCCTATTCTGCCTCACGGTAACAAAGTCAGCAATGGGGTAGGGAGCGATAAGTGTAGGCAAATCCCTGGGAAGGAGGCTTTGAGTCATCTTCCAGTTTGCCCAAGAGCCTGATTTCTGAAATATAGCAGTGTGCTTGATCCCAAGTGCTTGATGTAGTTGCAGGCATGGGGGACAGATGGGGGCCAAGGAACTTTATTTTTCATTTATCCTTTATTGTATTTTTACTCAGGCAAACAAAGGAATCTGCCAGATGTTCAACAATGAAAAAAGAAACCCTATAGCTCTGCGGCAACAGATCCTCTTTCTTTCATTTTTCTTCAAGATGAGATTGTCTGCTGCCTCCCTCCCTCCCCTGTAGCATGCTTTTCTTCCATTATGTGTGTTTGTGTTAGATGTGGGTATGGGGGAAAGTGAACTTCTTCTTGCATCAACCAACTGGCCTTAGACCGGCCCAGCATGGAGAAAGACAGGCAGCTTCTTGACAAGCAGCTCCAACCAAAATGGTAATATCGGCGATGCCATTATCCTGACCCGGACATGTTCCTCTGCCAAGGTGCAAGATGTGCTGCCACTCGGGAAGGCCATGGCTAGTAAGCAACGTCCTTTCAAGCTCTTGTTCTTGGAAGGTCAGTGCACTTTTTTCTTCCTGCCATGGCTTCTCTGGATTCACCTTTCAAGCCAAGGAAGCTACAATTGCCGGATGTAGGTTTTAGTATTATTATTATTATTTTTGCTCATCACTGCAAAGCCTAGGCAGACTAGGCAGAGGGCAGAGGGTTATAATGCAGAAAAGAGGAATTCTTTGAGAGAATCCCACAGGTAGGTTTCCTGCTCAAGCACGGGGTTGGACTAGAAGACCTCCAAGGTCCCTGCCCACTCGGTTATTCTGTGATCTGTTTCTGCCTATAGATCCCCAGTCCCATGACTGCCTCTTTCATCTCAAAATCCCTCTTGGCAGTTCCTCCTCCTCCTCCCCCACCAACCTCCTGTCTCATTTCATTGTTTCCTTCTCCAATGATGTAGTTATGTGTTAAGCAATAACACCCCACCACCGCCGTTCTTCATGTCTTGCTCAACTGAGGCTGGTTGTTACAAGAAGCTCACTTCCTCTCTCCTTCCTACCTTAGCCAGATCTGCTGAGCAATGGAACTGTGGGTTGTTGTTTTTTTTGATATACCTACGTCCAACCACAGAGCAGAAGGTACAGGAAAGCTGGGGGAGAAAATGACAAAACTGAAGTGGGGAGAGAAGACAGATTGAGATGGGGTTTGCCAATGGACCAAAGTCATTGATAGTGTCTTCTTTTGTCCAAAGACCAACTGCCCCAGCAAAGCAAGTCAAAGCAAACCAAATCCATGCACATACTTATACATGAGTCTAGTCTCTCTGGCAGCCCGGGCTCAAACTCCAGGCAATTGAAGGGAAAGGGGCATGTCCATAGCAGCCTCAAATTACTATAACCATGTTGCTTGTATCTTTACAATTTATATTGTTTTATTTGTTTCCTGGTATGATTTGATTGCTTATTAGTAACCTATGACTACCACTAAGTGTTGTATTTTATGATTCTTGATGAATATATTTTTTCCTTTATGTACAGTGAGAGCATATGCAGCAAAGGCAAATTCCTTGTGTGTCTAATCACACTTGGCCAATAAAGGATTCTATTCTATTCTATTCTATTCTATTCTATTCTATTCTATTCTAT